TGATATAACTGGAATTTTTCCTGAACATGAAATTACCACTAAAAGATCTGGAGAAGTTTGCCGTGCAGTATTTTTCGTAAAGGTGAATACTTCAAAAACTTAGAAAATTACTTTTCAAACTTTTGTTTGTTTTGCTTTTTAGCATCTTTTTAACAGTTTTGATTAGAAAGACTATTGCAAAACACAGTAAAGAACAGTCCACTGCAAGATCAGTATGACTCAACCTTATGTTTACACAGCCTCATTATTACATAGCAAGTTTCCATTATTTTAAAATTGGTACTGTCCCTAAACACAAGAATTTAAGGAAGCTTGCTCCATGACATTACAAACCCAGAGGTCATATTGATCAACAAGCTTGTCCTATCTCATTTTGAATCAAAGCTTGTTGGCTATTAAAAGTGTCTAACAGCACCATAAAATTGCAGTAATCCCCTAAAATAGAAAGAAAGCTGTATGCAGGGTTAGAGCAAGCCAAAGACTATGAAGACTGTATTTCAGAGTAAATGTAATTGAAAGGCAAAGAACCTTCTGACAGCTTAAGGGAGGTGTTATTAATCAGAAGCACAGTTCTTAGAAACCTTGTTTGGAATATAAAAATAATGATCAGCATTATTTTCCCAGTTATCCCATACAAAACTGTGGGTCTCCTGTATTTAATAAAGGCATTCTGCCTTTATAAGGCTGCATAATGATTTAAAGTTAGAATACCACGAAAGTATTTAGTGCTAATACTGTACCAATACTAAAATGAGTATTTGTATGTTTTCAGAACCCAGACATGAGACTCTGGGCCCGACATGCAAAACATGTTGAGCTCTGGGTCCTGCAGTCCCAGCTGATATTAAGTAGCTGCAATTACAGATTGCAAATCAAAATTAAAGTGACCCAGGCTGTACTTCTGGCTTACACTTTGCAGTTTCTGGTTCTAAGTATTCATTTGGGAAACTGGAAGTTCACCTTCCTAACTGCAAAATACTGGTTTTCTAGTGGCATTTAAGAAGAAAACAGTAACCAGTCTTGTGCTGCTGCAAGTATCTGTTAACCTCATTACAGGAACAGTAAATTCAGTGTTCATAACAGATCTGACTCTTAACTTGGAAATTTCAAGGCCCTATTGGTTCAGGCAATATTTGCCTTTTACAGTTTTTGTGGGGCTTTTGTTTTGGCTTTTTTTTAGATTTTCTTATATCAATCTCTTTAGGGGAACGTATATATATATATATGGTGGAAGACATTTAAGAAGCTGAGTAAAGTACCTAGGAACATACCAAGAGAGAGGGAATGAATCCTAAAAACTCACACTCAAAATCCAAATGATTTCTTTTCTCCTCCATTCATAGGGCAGAGCGACAGAAACGAACATAACCAAGTTCTAAATACAGATGCAAAATAGGCATCATTTTCACCAGTGGGTTTTTTCTCTGTGGATTACAGATGGCTGGCATGTCAAAAAACCCACCTGTCTTCTCTGGACAGACTAACTGGTACATTTTGGGAAACTCGGGTCAAGCTGGACAAGAAAAAAAGAAATTGCTTTTGGGCTTTCCTTTTTTTTGGTCAGACTTCCAGCCGTTAATTTGACTACCTCAGCAGTCGCTAGTGTTTGATAAATACTCTGTTGAACAAACAGCCCCATAAATTTTGTCACAAGTAGCGGTTTAATGCTGTAATAGAAGCAGAAATCCTTACTATAACAAGTTACTGTATTTAGCAAAGATACTTTATTATTTGTTTTCAAATGTTTCCATTTTCAGTGCTGTTTCCTTCCTGTTGAATCACCAGGTGGGTCTTAGGCGCGATTCATGAAACTCAGCATGTAAGGACATTCGCCTCAGTGCCACCTCTATTTATTCTTTAATAAATGTAATGAATAAATCCTTCCTGTATTTCAAAGGGACTCAGTTCTTCTGGGTGTACTGTTGAAACGACGAGTGAAGCAAAGCAGTGGCAAAGTCTGTACCAACACAGTAAGACTATGTATCCAATACCATTCAGTCCTGGTGTGAAGGTTTGGTCTCATAGAAGCAAAGAAGTGCCAGCTTCTGATGTAATATCTTAGCTTTATCCTTGCAAACTGCAGTGCTCTGGGCAAGCAAACAGACCCTGCTGCTATGCGGAGACGCGGAGCGGTACTGTCTGTGGGGACAGCACCGTGTGACTGTGAAAATAAGCTCTTCCAGTCACAGATGGAGCAAGAGGGGGAGGCTTGTCACTCCTCTCCTTTTTATAACTGTGCGTAGACGAGCACGGCAGGTTGTTCTGCTCAGAGGTTGACGCTTTGCGGGCGATGGGAGGCCTGAGGGCAGGCTGTTACTGACAGGGAAAGGAAGATACAGCACTTCCAGCTACACCTGGCTCTTATGCACACACGTGTGAACACACATGCTGTTTTTCCTCAGACTCATTTGGTGACACCAACTGAAAAGGGATCAGCTTGTCTGTACCAGGTAATTTGAATATTGAAAGTGTGTAATGAGGTGTTTTGATTACATTGAGACTGAAGCAGGTCGCGTGAAATACCTACTGTTCTCTCGCCAAGTGACACCTGCAGGAAAAGCCTTATTTTACATGCATCCTAGAAAATCTCCAGAAGTTTCACTTTCCCTCTCTGCAGCCCTGCAGGTGGTAACAGCATAGTAGGTGTCGTTCGGTGCTGCGGGCTGCACGTGTTGCTACATGCTTGGAATCTCCCTGAAACCATAAAACCACATAACAAAGTCCCTGTATAATTTCTATTGCACATGACTGTCATTATCCTGAGGTTAAGGCAACAGCTCTTCTTTCATTGCCTGTCTATATATTGCTGTGTAACACGTAGTCTGATCTTAAAAATTGCTGCCATAGTACCAACTGCATTTGTTTCAATACTTTTGGCAGTCGCCTTCAACTTCCTTCCAGAAGGCAAGGCTAATTTGCGGTTTTTTTTGTTTTATGGTTTTCCAGCATGAGTCTGGAGGTTCCATTTCTCAATCAGGAGATGGGAAATGGTTGTTTCTGGGGCTTTTGTGATTACACGTCCTTTTTCCTGGCAGAAGGCAAGATCACAGGCTGAGAAAAAGCTCTGTACAGTAGAACCAACATTTCAGTTCTCCTTATGCCTAGTTCCTATTCTGAACTGGTCTGCTTTCAGGAGTGGTAGCTGAAAGCTTCTTAACAGAGTAAAATGCCATTTTTTAGAATCTAAACATAGTAAATAGCTGAGTTGTCATTCCAGGAATAAGAAGTTTTGCCTCAGTTTGCCTTAGCAGCACCCGACTTTGAAAAGTCTTCTCCATTTGTTGGAGTTGGGAAGGGACTCAAAACCTTTGCCTCCACCGCGGTTCAAACGCCATAGCCCGCTATCTCCACCTGCAACTTGACCATACAGAAAATGAGCAAACAGCAAGGTTCTAAAAGTGCAGCAGGACATTTCCCCAGGAAAAAGAAAAGATGATATTCTGTTGTTTATATAGAAACTGTCTTACATCGTGTAGTCACAGATGTAACTGAAAGGAAGTTGTAGCCCAGACTATTTACTCTTTTGTATAGTTAAAAAAAAAAAAAAAAGCCATGTCAAACATGACATGATCACATTCCTACATCGAGTGAAAACAAAGGAACCGGTCGTCATGTTTTCACTGCAGTCCCCTTCCATCAGGATTAAGAACTGAGTCACAGCTACCCATGCAGTTTTTGCCTGTGTTACACACTGCAGCCTCGTAGACCCAATAGATATTTCAAAGTCGGTATTTTTGGCAGGAAGGAGTTAATTAGCTGCTAGACATAGGAAAAAACTTCCTCTACTATGAACTTGTGACAAAACAGATCATATTAATCCTACGGTCTACTGAGAAGAGTTTCTTTTAAATTCATGCCTAGAAAGTGAATTCTGCTATTACACACGTAGTTCCTCGTCCCCTCTTACACTGCTAGCATTAGGTAGCCAAGAGCTGAATGTGTGTGTTTGGCTTTTTACTGTACAATAAACAGTGATAAATGTTAGTCTGGATTTTTCTACTGAGTACTGCCAGCATATCTTCCATGCTGCTTTCCATGAGGAAATAAACATCTACACCTGGTTTAGTGCTTTTGGTGGATGGTATACTAGAATTACAGTGTTTTTTCTGAAGCATCCAAATGCCATAGCGGTTTAATGGGGCAGGGGGGTGGGAAGAGGAGACTCCCCTTGGGGAGAGAAAAGGTGACAACTGTGGGACAGATTCCCCAGCCAAATTGCATTTTAGATTGTGGGATATAGACAAAACCAAATGAGGATCGAGTTCTTCCTGACTGAAGTCAGTATCCGTCTCAGAGCCATTTTCTTCCTGGGAGCTTGGTCTCAGTAAAGAAGCCGTTGGCGTGAAGCTACGGTTACATGGCTTCCTTTTCTTTGCAGAAAAAAGTCTGCTGCTGCCCCATGACATTTTTCACTCAGTAAAATATTTAGGCCGTGGTTGATTACAACGTGTCTGGTGAAAATCGGTCAAGTTTGGTATTTGAATGCCCTGGAAAAACTGGCAATGTGTTTGCCGTATGCATCAATATCTGTCCTATTTGAAAGGACACTTTTAGGTCTGGACAGTGGCAAACCTGGCTTTGGAGTTGGAAATTTGATAGTTATGACTGCTGCTGAAGAGAGTAATTAGAGGGCGTTTTCTGCATTTGAACTAACCTTCAAAGCGAGACTTTCCTCACAGTATTTTCTGGCAAGCGGGGACACATTTGTGCAGTAAAAAGGTCTCTAAGAAGTAGGTTTAAAGAAGTCAGCTAGAAAAAGCTTACTGTTAATGTATTTGTGTATTTGTATCCTCAAAATAAGACTTATGAGTAATTAAGGAACTATGTAGATGTGTGATGACAGAGGGTGAATTTAATAAATATTTGTATTTTTAAGTATGCCTTTAGGAGTAAATTAGTTACAAGAATCTGTTGTTTGCTCGATTGTTTTACAGTGGTTTTTCCCTCCCAACTTTTCTCAGTGCAAACTTTTCAGCTTTTTCAATCTTTCCTTTTCCCAGGGTAGACTCATACTGATGTTTAGGCTGATCCTACAAGCTGGAAAAAGGGTATCTGCCAAAGCGCAGTACAGACACTATTTACTGCTCCCTTGTCAGATGGAGGAGAGTGGTAACAGTGAAAAAGATGTACTGGTAGTCTCAGTACCGCTATTACTCTGTCAGTATGATTACAGAAATCGGTTGATGGGCCAAGTGATCTCTCGCTCACTACACCAATTAAAAGAGACGTGAATAATCTTTTTCCTCTCTCCCAATTTTAGCACAGAACGTCACAGTGGTTTCAACGAAATGGACCTATGAATATCAACCACTACGCAAATAAGAAGAGCGCTGCGGAGAGCATGTTGGACATTGCCCTGCTGATGGCCAATGCATCCCAGCTGAAAGCTGTGATGGAGCAAGGACCTTCTTTTTCTTTCTACATCCCACTTATCATTCTTATCAGCCTGTCGCTCGCACTGCAAGTTATGGTGGGAGTGCTCCTGATATTCCTTGGTATGTAGCAACAGCGAGAACCGTTGACATGTATTTTTCTTACAGGATGCAACCTATAAGATGGTATATAAGATATGGTATACAGACTCCCCATTTATTTTTAAAAAGCTGTTATATTTGAAAGTCTTTACCTCAGAATTGATTAAAGTTTTCTCCTAAGACCATAGAAATGTTGCAACAAAAGGAGTAAGGGCAGCTTTATGTGGAATCTTCAATTTTGATCAACTTCCTCATACTCATTGGCCCAGAGTATGAATATTTTTCTTTTCAGAAGGCCTGAGGAGGAAGGAAAATGATGAAATACTGTAAAAGAAACATTCATAGGCCAGATAGGATCATGCAGCCTGCCCAGTTTCATAATACTGTTTCTGGCAAGATCTGTTACTTAATCTTATGACTGAAATGTATTTGTTCCATATCGGTCATATCATAAGTAATATTATAAGAATATGTTGTGGACGTAGAACTCCGAAACAGAAGTAAAGTTGAAATGTCCATCTTCATGTTGGTGTGGCATATCGTCTTCAGTTTGTTTGTGTTTCTGCAATCAAATCAAAGGTTTGATAGCAAAGGCTTGACAATAATGAAAAAAAAAAAACTTAGTTTTAAATTTAGGAAATTATTCAAAGCATCCTAAATCTCTAGGTGGGGAATGGGAGAAATGTAGTTGTTACTGTTAATTTTCAAACCTGTGTTAAACTGAAATTAAAGTTAAAAAGAAAAATAGGCTACTTGGAGCAAGATTTCACCATAAGAACATACCTCATCTATTATCCACATACTATGACTTCAGTCAGAAAATTTGAAATGACATATAATATGAAAACACAGTCCAAGTAGCATCCTGGGACTAAAAATAGATTGTCTTGAATTCTGCTTATCGCTAGGGAAACTTTTTCTACTTTCTACCAAAGAAATGTGATGCAACACCTTTAACATGTGCTAGAAGTCATTTCAAGAGAATGAGTTCAAATAGGAGTTGTGTTAGTGCGTGCTTTGGACACATTCAATGAGACAGCTGTAGAATTAGTTCCCTGCTCCCTGCCTTCCCCCCTCTCCCCTTTCTGTCTTGTTTGTCGAATTACGGACCTTCACATTCCCAGAAGTTCAATGCAGCGTCTTTGCTGTTCTCAAAAATAGAGGTTCCGCTGTTCAGTATTAATAGGTACAATGCTGTGAGGCACAAGAACCAGTACTTATCACTAAAAATTAGGTATTTTCAGTTAGTATGGCTAGATTAGTAGCACACGTATGTCATATATCCTCTGCTTATTCTGTAAGGCAGAATATTGATCTAAGTAGCTATAGAACCAGGCTCATTTCTAAAACAATGTCATCACTAAGTAAGCATGAATTACCCAAAAAAGCCCAACTAAAACTCCACAGAGAGTGGAGAGACAGCACTCTTCTGGAAATCTGAGTTTTCTGTTTTGACCTTAAACAAGTCTTCAGTACTTCTCTTTGCTATCTTAACTTACTGTGATATTTCCCCCCCACGCTTTTGCAAAAACATGTGAAAAGAATCCAGTGGCACTTTGCAAAGTTGCTGAAAACCTGCAACGTTCATTAGCAGCACCCAAAACCCTAGACCATAACTTTGGAGGGTCGATCGAAGGATACCTGTGGAAATCAGAGGAAATGTTTAGGTTTCAGCATCAGTTGAACCCCATTATTCACTGAAATAAATGACACCTTCACTGGTAGGAAACAGCTATGGATCACTTCTTTTGCTAGTGATATACGATCATTTATTCTCATAGCTTTTTTCAAATCTTTCCCTTTACATTAATGGGTACTATATGATAGATCTTAAGTCTACCGTAAATGAAAAGCCTTGAAGGTGATAGCCAGAGTTCACACATGGCATTGACTAAGTTATAGGTGCGACCTTTGGCATCTCTGTTAGTCTTTCAGTGTTCCGGTTTTTAGCACAACTGAAAAAACAACTTTCTGTTCAAGGAGGAAGTTCCTAGGAAACCAGGATACATAAGGCTTGTAATATTGATATGCAGCTGATGTAGCTTTTTTCTTTCTTACAGAAGAGACAGAATACAGCTGCCTCTGCATTTGGTAGAGTTGGTACAAGAGCAAAATCCATGTCCTGGCTCAGAGGAGATTCCAGAAAGGGACTGGAAAAAGCAACCTGATGATACTGGGGGATGTGGAAAAATGGAAAAATCAGCGGAACACTTATATGTTTCTTGGCTGAAGGCATCTCCCTGGTGGTTGTTTCAGTTAAGCAGGCTTTGAGGCTGTAAACAAGTTCCCTTTTTTTTGTCAGGCAATAATTTCTCGGTATATGCTGAGACATTGCTTTTTAATGCTTGTTTCTGCCAGACATTGCCGAAGTGGCTTCCATCTCTGTAATTTTTATCTTTGTCACATTGAGAGTAAAGAGAGGACCCGGCAGCCCCAACTCCCAAGCTGGGCTGAGGTAGAGTTCACAGACCACTGAGCAAATAGTGAGATTCATCAGGAGTTCAGCCTGTGCTCTGCAGTGGCTGTAGGTTTGGCGTACCGAGGGTGACAAAGCCCTCGGCTTATAGCGGTATGCTGTTGGAGTGATGCTGTCATGCTGGGGTCAAAAGTACTGAAGGTAGGAAATAGGATATGACGGTACAAAGGCATCGTAGCAAGAACTTGCTTTTCACAATGTGTATTTGGTAGTTTTGGCCTGCAGGAAGAGTTTGCCTTTCCGTCCAGCCACAAAACTCTGCCTCTTACCAGCTCTCACAAGTCCAAACAAAAGTCTGTGCAACCAGCCAGTTTCTTTCCTTGAGCCAGAGTTTTATCCCAGGAGCTACCAGTTCTCTACTAGGGATTAAAAGCTTTTCCTCCTTCAAGAGAGCCTTTCACAAAAACATTTTGAAAAATGTTCAGCAAACTTGTCCTTGAAAGTGATTTGGTAATCTTAAATTTTTGGAAGAAAAGCAAAGAATGGCTTGAAATAGTTTAAGTGGCATGAAATCATAGTAATCCAATCCCACTATAATAAAATACTTAAAGAATAGCTGTTCTTAAAAACATTTTCACAAACACCCTCATCTTAAATACTATAATCACAAAGATAGGATTACTGCAATTGTACTTCAAAATTTAGAGCACCGCCTAAAGTGACAAGCAATACTTGTCTTCTCTGACCCTTATTTGGACAAAGGGACAGCTCTGAAAGTGACAGTTCTCCTTTGAGCATGATTTCTTTTAATTCACAAAACATGTTAGGCCTTTATTGACTTTTCTTTTTTAAACCAACTGTCTGAAATGCTTTTCTTCCATACTTCAGGATTAATTAATTATTCCATTTCATTTATTCCGCCTCATTCACATGACAGTACTAGAGTCCTTCCAGGTACTGTTGGGATGCAAGCGTCCATGTAGCTCCAGATGCTTTACAGACATGTATAAACTCATTTTCAGGGTTAAGTACTGCTGAGCTTAAATTATTTCATGCCTACACAGGTGTGCTTAAGCTTAAGCTTTTCAGATAGTTCCCCCATGCTGTTCTTCAGTGCTTTGACTGGCCTGTGATGTTTGACTATACTGCTTTAGCAAACAGGACTTGAACAGGCGCCCAGAATTCCTTGAAACAAAAACAGCGTTAGACATCCTAATTAGGGACACCGAGTGAACCTGGCTTTTAATACTTCAGCATCACGAGTGTGTTTGCCACCACTTCCACTTAACTGCTTCAACAAGCAAGTCTTGGTTCTGTGGTTAAGTTCTGCAGTGTTGACAGGGTCATTATGTTAAAAGCAAAAAACAGTTTATCTATCTTGTGCAGTGGAGTCGTAACTCTCCCATCTATATATGTGCCTATCAGAGTTTTGTTTGTGTTGCTGTAAAAACCTGTTGGGTATGAACTTTCTCTCACATATCCTGTACATGCACACACAAGCTCCAGTGATCTACACATTTAAGAACTAGGACTTTTAATAGACAAAAAACATTCTCAAAACACTCTCCAGAATTCATCTTCACTCATTCCATCAGCATCAAAGAAATTTAGCAGAGGGTCTGAGTTGCAGAGCCCTTGCTGCAAGAGAACAGAGACAGAGGAAAATCTTGGGTTTCGCATGATGCCAGGCAAGTGACCCCAGACTTCTTACTGGCCTATACAAGCACACGCTTTACTCTATCATCAAGTCTATTATCATTCCAGCGTAACTCATATATGTGTTTTCACAAGGCCTGGAATCAAAGCTTAAACTAAATGAATACTATCTCCCTTGTGTGTTCCTCCCTCGCTCCCATTAGCAGTTCAACCAAAGAACAACTGCAAGAAACAAAAGAAATTGTTTACACAGCTGATGCTCTCTGTAAAAAGGACTGCAGCTACACTGCTTTGAAATCTTCCTCTGTTTAACAGATATAATGCTCTTGCTTTCTAAAAAACAGAATCAGTGCAAAAGCAGGGAGTACAGCTGGGGAAGGGCACCAGTACAAAAAAAACCCAGCACTGGTAGAGAGATTGGGCTGCCTGCGAAGAATCTGTAGCATTTTAACTACTAAGGAAATTTAACTTCATTCCATTCTGTCTGGGCTTCAAGCTTCATGTATTCAAGACTGAAATAATTTTTAAATGCTTAAAGTCTGCAACAAAACTAGGTTTCAAAAGATCAAGAACGCAGAAGATTTCTAGTAATGTTTGTGTATCCATTACTTCCCATGTGCATCCACAGAGATTAGATGCTAATTACTGGAAGCTAATAGGCTCCTTGTGGTTAAAGATGATCTTAGCACTTTTACTGACACTGCAGAATCTTACTTCCTTTTTAAGTATGACTGAGGAAAATAGCTCAGTGTAAGAGCAACTCTTGAACTACATGGGTAGCGAAGACTTTTATTCTGGATTTTGAAATATACAAATAATTAAAACTTTTTTTTTTCCTTTCTCTTTGAAGTAAAATATGACCTTAACAACCCTGCAAAACATGGAAAGCTGGATTTCCTCAACAACCTTGCAACGGGACTAGTATTCATTATAGTAGTTGTGAATATTTTTATCACTGCCTTTGGAGTGCAGAAGCCAGTTGCTGAGTCAGCGTCAAGACAGTAAGTACAAGGTGAGTGTGGTCTCTCTGCACCATAAGGTAGCAGGGCATAGCATACAAGAATGCAGTGCCCACTAGGGCACTTCTAGCCTTTGCAGACAAATGAGTTTACTTCAGACTACTGCAAAAGCAAAAGATGGTAGGAACTGCTAAGTTATTACAGTGTATTTTTAAATGTAGAGTTCAAAAATTGATGGCAGCATCTTACTTTGCCAGGCACCCCTTGCATGTGTCACGCACAGGAAGTGTGAAGATTGTCCTTCTGGCTTAGCCACTCCTTTTCCTCATTGCTGACTAAGCCAAGAAGGGAAATAATATTGTTTTGCTTCCTCCAAATGCCGCTTCTTTTTTCAAGAAAAGTTTGCAGTATACTGCATCTAGCCTGTTATGAACACTGAAGACTTAATCTTCATCCAAGTAACTAGGGCTATTAAGTCCAACATATAATACTACACATCATTGGAGCCCTTCTGTTCCTGATGGTGTGGCTTTTCTGTCCTCCCAAGCTGCCGGGCTTTTGCTTTGTGGGAGGCTCAGCCCGCAGATGTGCACTATCACTTTACTTGATACACGTGGTCATTTAGAACAATAGTTTGCTCTACCTGCATTTTAAAGTTTGTTATTTACTTATACAGAAGGGTAAATATAGGAATTGGGGGAGTCAAAATGGGTATCTTCCTAGCATCATAGCTATGATGAACAATTTGGAAAGAGATAAACCTAAATTGTAGGCTCGTAGCTCAAGAAGCACTATAGTACAACATCTGCCTTTAAATTAGCACTGCTAAGTCTCTGTGTGCCAGCATTGCTCTGGCTCTTTGTCTTCCAAACCTGAAATCACGTTCAGAAGACCTGCTGAAGAAGGAATTACTTGACTTTCCTGGCAAGCCACGGTACACTGGCTACTATGGAGACAGCCCATACATGTAACATTACAGGTTTGAGTTAACTTTTAGATGAAACCCTTTCGCCATGAGAAAGAAGATAACAAGGCCTTTAAACCCCTAGTCTGAAGGTGAATGTAACAAGAATGGAAAGCAGGACAAATTCTATCAAGACTCTAAAGAGCGTGGGGGGAAATCAGTGCAAGAAATTACTGGGAAGATGAAGAATGAACTTCATTTATTTCGGGGTGTGGGCGGAATCATCTGCTTCATCCAAAACCTGTGAAATTCTGGCAGTGAAGCAAGATAGTTTTATTGTATTTTCTGGCCATAGTCTTTACAAATAAACTAATAAATATTTCATTTTAGCAGCAAAGAGCACATAGATTATCTGAGATATGATCAGAATTATAGGTAGAACGTCCATCTCAGCAGTACGTATTAAAACAACACTGAAAAACTAACCACAAAATTGCACTGGCAAAGCCAAGAGAACTGAATGAAGGATTATTGGAATTTTAGCTGTCTTCATGGGAAAAACCATGCACAATAGCCAGGAACAGAGGCAGAGACAAGAATCTGAAATAGGCACCAAGAAATTCAAATAATGCACAAGGTGGCATACCAGAATCCCAGCTGCGCCTCTTTTCGATACAGTGAAAGAAGAACTTAAGAGGGAAGAGAGGAGAAGCAGTTTTTGCTTATCACACTGATGTGTGCTGAGTAGAGAGGAAGATGAGTTGACAATCCAATCCCAAGCCAGTTAGTGCCTTAATGTAATGGTCAGCTAATAGCCAGAAGGTAGGTATCGCACACCTTGCCTCACCAGGATACCGGATGGGTGAGCCCACCCACATTTCATCTGCTATTTCTCTGCTAGTACCACGTTCTCTAATGAGGTGCCTTACTGATTCTCCCCGGTACCAGTGCCAGCTCTGCTCCCTTTTCGATCTCTCACTGGCTTTTAGGAGATGCTGCTTCTGCAGTGTTTCCCAAACACGACTGCTGTATTTCTCTACGGCAGAACTCAATACTGAAGTGCTTTGAAGAGCCCTGCAGCTGTCACAGAGTTTGCAGGACATCTGTTTTGTGTGTCACAAGCCAATTCAGCTCTGGGCAGCACTAACATGCCAGGCTGGCTTCTGAACATTGCTGTGCGTTAGCTCTTTAAACACGTAAAGTGCACCCCCCTGCAAATTTCTCCCACCTGTCCATGGACTTTGTCTCCTTTCCCCTTCCTTCACACACGTACGTGGCTAAGTCTTATGGAAACATCAGTGGTTCTGTGCGGTGTCATACTGCTTAGCTGGCACCGTCTGGCAAGAAGGGGCTCTTCACAGCATTTGTGTTGGAGTTTCTCCTCTGCTATTCCTTCTGCTCTCCATAAACTGTCAACCCAAAGGGTTCTGTGGCTTAATTATGACTGGGATTGTGGAATCTCTAGTTAGAAAGCTAGGTCTTAAATGAGAAACAAGGTCACAGGTAACTTGTCTGAGATCATCATGAGAACATAAAACACGGTTCTGCCTAGTGGATGGTACTAGGTCATACAGCTATATACCATATATCGCATATAGCTATGCACAGCCAGAGTATTTGTTCACATACATAAACGTGATTGGTATCTACTGCTGAAATTGGTTTAATAAACTTGCAGTGCCTCAATAAAGGAGAAACAGTCGGTGGTTTATGTAGCCTCAGGTAGAGGCAAGACCAAAGGATGTTTAAAGCAAGTTTACATCCGTACAAAACCAGCAGCTGTGTGATCCTGCCTTCATGCTTCTCACACATGCAGTTTCTTAATAAAATGGCCAAATGTCTGGGACCTGTGGTTTTTTTGCTCCGCACTTGTTAAATGTGGAAGTTCTTCATTGCTTTGGAACGCTACATCTGTTGTTTGCTCATTTGTACATATTGCCCTTGCTAAAAACACCCGGCCATCTGAATGTAACTTGAAAAATAAGTCTTTTCCAGTCTGCTGCCACAATCTCCTCAAAGCCCTGAGAGAAGTGAGTGGCCACCATTTTCTGGCTTCACCTTCACTATTACGCACACTTTTCCAAAGAAAACTTAATTCCCCCTTTAAGGCAAATTTGTCATTTACTATAGTTCCTGTATCACTAACATCGCAGTATCTTTGTTTTCTATTTCAGAGACCTGAAGCATTCATTTCTCCATAGGTGCCATTTGCACTTGAGCCAGTTACACTTGGACACAATAGAAAAAAAAAATAATCTGAAGAAGCTGGACATATCGAGCAGCATTCTCAAGCTTCCAACAACCAACACATCTGTGCACCTAAAATTTTCCAATGTGTTAATATTTAAACTGTTTGGCACCTTTGACTCAAGGACATTGTTTTTATGGAATATTGGCATTTCAATTTCTGTAGAAACTAATTGTTTTTCAGAGAAGTGGCATAAGCTCATCAAACAAGGTAGTATCAGCTGGTGGCACTTCACAGGACTTCCCATTTTCCATGCCTTTTGGTTTTGTGGCAATTTGTCATTTCCAGCGTGGCAAGAAACGGCAGGCCTTCAGTTCTGGCATGGTCACGTTGTCCTTTATTTCACTCGCTTGGCACCAAACCCACGTACTCCACAGCACAGCAGTGGTCTTCCTTTGCAGCGTGCGAAGACAGCTGTGCCTTCTTTTCTTTTTTTCCACTCTAGCTAAAGCAAAGAGGAGACAAACAGAAACAGTGGGCTATCTGTCTGTTGTCCAGTTTTGCTGACAGGTAGTCGTTTGTCCTGTTTCTTCATCTCTGGACCACACTTAAAATTTCCTTCTCCTTTGTGCGCAGACCCAAATAACCTAATTGCTAATAGTTTCTTACTATTGACATCTATGCTCCGTATTCTGTGCATTATATATATTTCTGGAAACCCTGTTAGAAGCGCTACCTTTTCTAGGCCCAGCTGGAAAACTAGAGGGTACAGGGTGAACTTTACCTGCTAAACTAACTGGTACTGAGCATCTGTCAGCAATTCAAGTAGCAAACTGAAAGAAGTTTATCCCTCTATAACTTACTTTTCCCTCTTCTCTTCCCAAGATGGATTGCTGCAGTTGTGTTACTCTTACAAGTTTATGGCTAAAAGCATCAGTAATTTTTTAATTTTTATTTTTAAATATATAGAGAGATATAAATATCTTCTAGGTTCTTACCTGCTGGCTCAGGGACTGACACTTTTTTCTAAATACAGTATTGCTAGTAATGGTGTAGGTTATAAAAATTTCTACAAGAAAAACATTTCAGTCTTTTTATTTCCAAAGTATCACATCTGCAATCAGAAAAATCCCAGTTTTCTAGAGTGTGCTTACTTGTAGATGCAGGTTTGTACTAATACATTTCCTTACCGTTAATTTTTAAATGCTCTCTTGCACATATTAATAGAAGTTTGACTTCCATGTGTCTCATCTCATTTACAATTTTTATTGATCACGTTTCTCGTTAGTTATGTCTCAAGGCCCATTGATGTACCATATCTTCATTTATATGTGCGGTAAGAATTACTAAGAGAAAACAAATCAGAAACTTGTGTGATTAGTAATGGAATAGACATTCTTTTTTATTTTTTGATTTGTCTTTTGTTGCTTCATCTCCAACTGAACACGTATTTAACCAGTATCTAGCAAGCAATGGTCTTAATTGTGCGTGTGCTCCTAATTTAAACGTAGCTCAGAACAAGTTCTGAATGAGGTACTCAGGGCAATTTTCCTTATTTATTTTTTACAAACCAGCAAACTGTTGAAGGACTATTCCTACATACTTGTGTTACCGCAGTTCCGATGCTGTAGTGTAATGAATTGACTGGCCAAATAGCAGTGCTGAAAACCTTGAAAACCTTAAAAACCTTTCTTTTGGAGAAAATCAGCGGCTGTAGGCAGAGCCCTTCCAAGCATGAAATTTGTCTGTGGCTCAACATCGGGCAGTAATTCTGATACGATTCTTGAATGTACCACCTTTGTTACCTTTCACCTTTTTACTCACTGGAGTATTTGCCCGTCTGTGCATCTGATTCAGTCTGGAGAGGCTCTCTGGAGGCATCTACCTCTCTTCTGCACAGGGAACTGTGTACCTAAGCTAGATGTCTGAAGCCGTTGCTTTGTGTCATCCCAAATACGTAACCCATCCAAAAGATAGTTACTTTTAACTCAGGTATGAATATTAGGTGTTTTTCAGTGCCAGATTTGCATCTTTCTAGTTTTTTAAGCAAGACATAAAAACAGGAAGAAATGTGTTTCTGGCACTTAGCTAATCCTCTCACTTTTTGACTTGTCCTTACTACCCTAAAGGCAGATGCAAACAGACGCCCAGGCTCTACTGATGTTTACGGTATTTATACTTGGTGGTGATTTGGCCCAATTTTGAATGTAGCTTTCCATTCCCGTGCTCCTCCCTGCCACGGCCCTCTCGTATGAGCGTGATCGTGTTTGTCTTGCACTGAAACACTTGAGAGCCGTCAGAGGGGGTTGCAGTACAGACATACCAGGTCTTCTCCCATTTTATTCCCTTCATTACCGGGCCATAATTTTTCAGGTCACTCAAGCAAACAAGCTGTTACAGTAGGTTTCTCCTGAAAAATGTAATAGCTGTTCTTATAGCATCTTTACTGCTAAGCTGTTGTCCAACAGAAACTGCTGAGGCTTGTGTATCCCATCTCCCAGCGGCTTGTGGAACTAACGGGATCCAGAGCAGTAGGGAAGGGGACACTCGCCAGGCGATGACTTGTCAGCTACAGGTTCCAATGGACTTCGCAAGACACAGGTTTTGGGACATACAGGAGGGAAAGAAAAAATACTTCAAGCTTGAAGACGCTGTTGGGTGCCAAGAGCTGGATGTGTAGGTCGGCATTAAGGGGGTAGGAGTCTGTTCACTTCAAGTCTGCCAGAGCCAACAAGTCTGCCAGGCTCAGAACAACAAGAAGAAAACCCCCGGGAGCCCTCCTGCCCCCTGAGCTCCTGAAAGTGTGACTGAAGCATCACAACAGTGATACTTGCAACTTCAGAGAGCCCGGTCTCTTCTTTTGGTTCCAAACATGTGAAAACCTGATCTGAAAGCCTTCCATCTGACTACAAGACTGTACTGGGCACCAGCAGCTTTCAACTTGCAACTGGATGTCTTTTTTTAAATAAAAAGGATGCTGGTTTATTACCATGTCTTTTATTGTGATTAAGAAAGATTTGCAAAACGTCCTCATGCATGCAATCTGTGTTTTAAGTCTCTGCAGCCTTCAGACATCATGTATTTTTTAGCAGACAAAAGCATCTGCAAGTTGGTTTCAAGTATAAATAATTTAATCACATGATTATTATTCTTTTAAGTCGGGTGCTTATTTAAAATCCTAGTGAATATCTCCTGGGGGGGGCAAACAAATGCATTGGTTTAAATGGTTCTTTGGTTTGCTGTGCTTCTCCAGAGTTCTTGGTTGTAGGCAAACGTTTCACTTAAAAAGAGGTCATCAATAATGAAGCGAGACGAATTTTTACAGGCCGTCTCAGGAAATGGTTCATGCCAGGTCATCCATTTACTTCTGTTTCATAAGCTGCTGAGCAGAGTAAGAATTACACATGCTGCTCTGGTCGTTCTCATTAGTCCCTGCAGCATCTAGGACTGCCTGGGCTGACATTTTCAGTGTAGCTGTACTTACTGAAGCAGGTGACAACAACTATATTTACAGGAACTGGCTTTTAAGTATTTGTCTTCTAAAGCAGGTCACCGCTGAAGTTTATTCTGCAGCCGAGTGTTACGTAAAACGGGCTGAACTAGAAAGCATAATCCTGGTTACTGTTTTCCCCACAACTATCCTCCGGAAGGTTTTGGTCACTCGTTTTCATTTAGTCTAACAAATGCTTTATCCTGTTTTCTGCCACGTCCTCCCGCACTGAGCCCCGCCAGCCACGCTTTGGTGCAGGTACCGGTCGGCTGGGGGGGCGCGCTGCCCCGTGCCACTGCGCTCGCCTCCTTGGTCCAGGGCACGGGCTTCTTACTACGTGTCACCCTAAAAGCTTGGGTGCTCCTTGATTCTTAACTGCTGGAAGAAACGTGATAATCTTGATCATTCAAATACTTACAAAAGAGTTACCAGAAACGAGTGACAGAATCCAAGCGCTAAGCTCTGCTTATTTTCTAGCTTGCCAAAGGTGTTGCCGTTGTAAGTTTTAGCTGATTCAGGAAATGCTATGTGTGGTACCAATTTATGCACCACTTTACAGTGTGTTTTCAAAAAAAACCCAAACAAACCCAAAAAACAATATGTCAAAAGCCGGTCCTTGTTCTACAATATAATTTTGTCAAACCACAGGAGAACAGGCTCGACTGAAAGTGTATTTACTTATTGCAGGGCAGCGGGAACACTTAGAAGAAAGCTGATGGTGTATTTTCATACGCGTAGCTCATCTTTGATGACCTGCACATTTAAACACACCACTCCTTGAAAATCAATCATCGAATCTCCCATAAGGTTAGAGGCAGCGTAGGGCATATAGAAGCACTGAGACTGAAAAGAAGCAGGCTCTCCTTCTCCTTAGTTGTTTGCATACAAGAAAAAGCCGCATCATCGCTTCTAAATGACGGTGTTTTGCTTTTAAAGGAATGATTTGCGGGTTATATACAGAACCAGACTATCCAAATGTGCGAGGCGGAGCCTCCCATCTTCGCGTGGCCAGCCCCACAAACCCTACGCTTCCATTAAGAAATTAAAAAATAATAAACCAAGAGTTTCTGAATA